CCTGCCTGCCTGTCTATTTGTCTGTCTGTCTTTCTACCTGCCTGCCTGCCTGTCTATTTGTCTGTCTGCCTGCCTGCTTGTCTGTCTGTCTGCCTACCTGCCTGCATGATCCAGCCTCCTAAAAATATCAGAGCTCAGCCACGCACCTGGAATTCCATCCCTTCCTGCTCCCTCCGTTTCCTTCCTCCTCGGGCCTCTAGCACCACTAACTACCAGAGTTTGGTTCTAAACTCTGGTTAACCACATTACAAATGGATCTAAACTCTGTTGCCGCCGGCGCGCCTTGTGATCGCACCGCTCCTTGCCACATCCTGCGTCCCAGCTCATCATGCTCTACACAGTCATTTATGTGTTTGTGCTTATTTGCCTTGTTGCTTAGGGGAAAGAAGCGCAGGTGGATTAATCTACCTAAGTGCATTAAACCGGCCCAGACGCTGCCTGTTTCCTCATGTATTCAGCCTGATTATACTCCAAGCAGGATCTTGACCCTTCAGTACCTCGTACACCTTTATTAGGTGGGAGTTTGCTGTCAGTGTTTGCTGGGGAGAGCTGATCATCCTGCTAATCTTCAGGGCGCCCTACGAGTCTGTAGTGCTGTGCGAATGGGGCTTTTGGGGGCAGTATGGCTCCAATAGTGAGCATATATACCCGATTTGGTGTTGGGGGAGGGACAGGCGAGCCGTGCAGTCAGGCTCTGTTTGCCCAGGCTGTGTCACTGGGACGGTAAGTGGATCCCAGAAAGGTGCTCATTGCGAACACCAATGAATCGGTACGTTTAAAGATGCTTTATCCCTCAGTAGCGCTGCGAGTGAATAAACAAGGGCCTGCATGTGTCGTGCAGTCTGAGTGCTTCACTCGCTCCCTGTTCTGTGTTAGAAGTCTGCAGTGCTGCCCTGTCTTCACCTGCCCGGGCGGGTTCAGGTTCCTCTGCACAAGCTCTCCTGCTCGGTGTCAGGAAGGATGGGGCGGCTTCAGCAAGCTCACGAACAGCGACGCCCCCACGTCGCGTGGCTGAGCCGCGGCGCTCTGTCAGCTTCCGCAGCCGCTCTGCCGCGGCGCTCTGTCAGCTTCCGCAGCCGCTCTGCCGCGGCGCTCTGTCAGCTTCCGCAGCCGCTCTGCCACAGCTACAGCCGTGATTTTGGGCGTCTCCCGTATCTGAGGCGAAACCCTGCAAGACAGAGTGACTGTTCTTGGCAGTAATGTTACAGGTTCCCTCTCCTGTAAAGGCTTGACTTGCTTTCCTTAGCTGTCACAGAACTGGCTCTCAACCTTCTGTATTCTCAGGTTTACATGCATTAAATCCTCTCCTTCCTGAAGTCTGACCGTGTCTGATTGGCCAGATGTCTCTGAATTCTGCAGCCGTAATGGTACCTTTTGTGTGACAGTCATCTTTACGGATAACGACTCGGATCTGACTGGTAGCTCCTGCTTCTTCGTGTGGCACCAGCAGCCATTTTGGTTTCTTGGTTACTGGTTCTGTACTGGAGTACCAGGGGTCCCAAAGTTAAACTGGGTCAAGAGATCCATCTGAGAGGGTTGGGCCTGCTTAGCTGTCTTGGCTGCTGTTTCCATTGGCTGGCCCGGGTCCTTCTGAAATTGAGTAGCGATTTGTCGTACAGGGCTGTACAGGGTTATTAACAAGCCTGACAACCGTCTGGCAGACGATCCGTCATGATGTCTGTGTGGCGCTTGGCGGAAACAAGTCTGGGGGTGCAGCAGAGTCGCAGGCTCCGGTCCAGCTCCTGCGGTTGTGGTGACTGCAACATGCGCGGCTCCCGAAACGTCACTGGCGTTTAGCTGCAACTTTCAGCTTGTTTCTGGGTGGCGTCGGATTGGCTGTTTATTGCAGACATTAATAAGCATCTGCGCACTCTTGATATGAGTGTCTTGGGGGGGCTTCCTGCTCTCATGCTGCCGGTGTCGAACACGGCGTTGTCTGGGACCCTCAGTGTGCTCTTTTGCTGAGGCGCTCAGCCCCCTTTGTGGATGTTCTTTTTACTTTTCCTCTGGTCCGCATCTGTGGAACTGAACCAGAAGAGATTTGTTTCCTTTAATAGGAGTGGGTCTGTTTGGCCTGTCGCAGTAAAAAATCTTCCCCCATGAGATCACTTTTGTATGCGTTTGTGCAGACACCCCCTGATTGGCTGATGAACGATGACGAGCGTGTCCGTCTCTGTCTCTCTCTCTGCATCCCGGCGCATGCAGGGTGCTGCCTGGGGTGAACTGGATCCCCTTCTACTCGCCGTCTCCCAGCCAGCCGTTTGCCGAGCTGCGCCAGACGCACTCGCAGCCCCTCGATGAGCCCGTCAGCCTTTACGACCTCGACGACCTGGATGTCTGTTGGCTGGAGCTGGTCAATGCGGAGTTCAGGGAACTGGGTGAGACATGAGTCTTTTACCACTCCCCGTCTTCACTACCATCAGTCTGCCTGTCAGTCCGTCCATCCGTCCATCTGTCCATGTCTTCTATCTCTGGAGGGTAACAGCTGCTGATCCTGAAATCCTTTGTGATCTGAGCCCCCAAACTGGGATCAGTTTAAATCAATATATTGTCATTTTTATGGACTTTAGACTCCACCACCCGACACCCGCTGGTTTTCCAGGTTACCTGTCTGTATCTTTCTGTTAAGCTTCAGGTCAAAGGTTATCCCACCAGCCATGACAGTAGTGTTAGTGGTTTTGGAGGTGAGCTGATGGAAGGAGAGGAGACTGTTTTGTGTTGCTCCCACACGGCCGCCGGCTTAACTCACTGACCGGTGGCGTGACCTGAAGCTCTCATCGACACTCTGTCCCTCCCCAGCCCTTCCTGAGCTGGACGAGTTGACGATGGAGCGCGTGCTGACCAAGCTGGAGAGCCTGTGCGAGGAGAACATGCAGCTGACCATCGAGACGGGCGAAGGCCTAGGCATCGAGTACGACGAGGACGTGGTGTGTGACGTGTGCCGCTCGCCTGAGGGCGAGGAC